GTTTTGGAGGCTTGGGGACGAGAATATAAACCCCTTTATGAAATAGAAACAAAATTTGTCGAATGTTTGCATACTTTTTTAAAAAAAAACACAGGTAGAAACTTTTGGAAAGAGATCCAGTATAACTGTTTGTTCACCATGTCATAGTTATTTTGAATCTCCAAAAAGCATCAATATTTATCCACTAGTACCCAAGGAATTTCTGATCCCAGAGCTTTCCGGTCTTCCTTTACTCCAGCTTCCCAGAAATATGTTTGATTTATAAGAAACATTCAGAGTCATACTCCATTTGTTCAATAAGAGAACCTCTGACTAGTTTTATTGCTATTTCACCCATTTTCCTCCAGATCAGGCAAAGGGGAGGGGGGGGGAAACTCCAGAGAAATCTAAGATATTGCCAGAACTGTGATGAGGCAGTAACAAATCCATGCATGAAGAATGTGTGTTCTTAGGGCTTAGGTCACATGAAGTGTGACTTCATAGCTATTTAAGAATTATCCTTCCAACCCTAACATAATCTGTTTATGCAATAGTCTAAATGCAAGTCTAATAATAGCCCTGACATACAGCCCACTAATATGGCAGGTAGAAAAACAACTGAGGCTAGTTTGGATTTACAACAAAACTTCCATGTTTGGAACAGATCTTGGACCGCCAACATTTATTCCTCCCCTTTGATTTGGTTGCCTTTACCCAAGTCTTGGTTCTGCTTCAACAGCTTGACTTCAGGGCATCCTTCATTTTCAAGTTGTGAAACAGGAGTTGGCGCCATGGTGTTCCTCTATTTCTGAATGCACTTCCCAGGGAATTTTTCTTGTCTGTGCCTAGCCAGATTTATAAATCAGCATCAACATCTTAGCTGGAGACCCAGAAGCATGACAAGTTTGAATTCTTGGCTTTGTTGCAAGGTTGGAACCCTTACCAGTTTAGTCAAGACATTAATATATTCTAATCACTACTTCTTGCAATGCTCCAACTTGTTTTTATTAATTAAATTCCTGCCATTTTTCTAGTTTTTAATTTTTCATTCTAATGGCACTTTTTAAAATTGTGCTAGCTTTAGCTTCTTGGTCATGTGGGGTTTAGAATGATGTTTAGATCTTGCATTTTATTCCCATCTTTTTGTTTTAAAATCATTATATGCCCAGATCGTGGTAAATGGGTCTTACATCGTTCTCTTGCAAAGCGAAATCAATTGCACACTGAAATGTAAGCTCCATTGCTTTGCCTACTACTGTGATGAAGATCTTAAACCGAATGCCTTCTACCTTTTTCTTCCAACATAGTGCAGTCTCAAGTTTGAGCACAAGATAAAGCCCATAGTTTTTCTCCATTATTTAGTAGGGGGTAGCTGATTCTGTAACTTTCCCAACAGATCTATGCAGGGCTTTTTTTCTCATAGAACACCCAGAACGGAGTTCCGGCACCTTTTTTGGATGGAACCCTGTAGGGTAGGCAAGGCAGGTTGTATGACGTGTGTGAGTTCCGGCACCTTTTTTTTTTTTTTTAAAGAAAAAAAGCACTGGATCCATGTCACAAAAACTACATCTCCCAGCTCCACATTGTGCCATTCTTCAGTTTGGTGCTCGAGCTGATCACGCAGGTCACCCACAACCTACCACCCAGGGAGAGCGCAACAGAAGCCTGCAGACATTCTTGCTGAAGGCCAAGGGAGCTGCCAGCACTAAGAGATCTGCAGCTGCTGACCCAGGCTGGTATCAATCCCCAGCCCCTTTGCTGCTTGCAGTCTTTGTGCCAGGCACAAACTGTTCCAACAGAAAGGCAGCTTCTCCAGCTCTTCAACACACAATGAGCCAGGGTTCAATCTTCTGGCCTTCCAGGAGTTGCAGATGTGGAGTCCCTCCTCCTATTTCTAATATTGGGACAAAGAAGCAGGACCGATCAGTTTGTTCCTTAGCATGTTTTTGCCGTAAACATCATGTGGTTTATGTTTGTGAATCAGTAAGGGGAGAAGAGGTAACTGCAAAACAAATGGAGAAAGCAGCAATGGGGATGGATGGAGGAAAAGGCAGGCTAAGGTCACCCTTGTGGATGCAAAAATGAGGAGACAAAAAGAACGAAGAGAGCTCAGAAGCCATAATTGCAGACCAGTTATTTTGAGGGCAGGAAGGGCCAAAGGTAAACAGAAACAGGATTATTTTTTAAATGTCCACTCCCATAGAATATGCTCCTTAATACATCCATTCCTCAGAGAGGGCAAAACACACCTCCTGTGGTGTGAAAAAGCAGAGTGAATCTCCTTGTTCCCAGGGCTGCAAGCCAGGATCCTCCTCTTACAGAGAAAGAACAAGCATGCAATTGAGAATACTCTCCTGTTTCGCCAGGAAGAGATTTTAAGGTTTGTGACTTCTGGCTGGGCTATTGCTTGTGCCATGATAAATCACCTGGCAGAGCCTGGGAAAACAGATCAACTTGCACACAGATGGAGTCAGAACGAGGAGAGAGTCCCCAAAACTTTCCACTGGAGTTGTATGTTTTGGAAGACTAGGTAGCTCTCCTGCAGTGCTGCTGTGCTCAGCCTTAGGGCTACCACCTCCTGCAAGTGGAAGTTACTCGTTAAACCAACCCTGCGTTTGCAGGAGAGTGAATTAGAACAGGTCCTTGGGGCACTTGGTATTATGAAAATGCAGCAAAGGTAGGGAAATTCCTTTCTGCCGAAATCCTCCTGCGACGGAGGTTCGACAACACAAAACAAAGACAATGAGGACTAGCACTCAGGAATCCTGACCAACTGCCCTCAAGATGCTTAGGTTCAGATGACGTCTAGGAGATACCAGTACACCCCCTTACAAGTCAACATGGTTAATACTTGACTTCTATATAGAGGTAGAATAATATCCCTTTAAAGAAGACAAGTCAAACTAATCTTCTGTCACTTGTTTCAGACGTCAACTACAACCCCCTTGGGCTTAAAGTCAAGGGCAGCCCTTTGACTTCTTGTATCTTAATTCTTAACTTTAGCCTTACTGAAACTCCAGATGTATTAGGACCTACCTACATACCTCCAAATCCCCAGGCAGTACAGCTGTTGCCTTACATATTTGCTATGAATAAATGCATCCCATCTACTGATTTTTGAAAATACCATCTGAAATATTGCAGAATGAAGCATGCCAAACATAAACGGCACTCTCGGGGAATCATAGCTCTAGAACTTCTGTACCATAAAAACTCTATGGGAGAGCGGGGGTTTTCCCCCAAAGACGCAGCTGAAGGCATGATTATGACTGTACTTTTAAAGTCATCACAAAAGCTCAGAGAGCATCAAGGACCCCTCATCATAAAAGCTTCCAGAATTGGATGGGACAAAAATAAAACCGTTCATCCTGGAGGAGTTACAGTTATATATGGCTTCAAGCCCTCAACCTGCCTGGGCGGACCCATAAATGCAGAAGGGAAACAGTTAGGAAAAAGCTTTCATATTTTCCCTTGCTTTTTGGGTAGGAGGAATCTGAATATATGGCCGTCCAAGTGATTCATCAGGGCAATCAGTGGATCTATCATACTCATCTAAAACGAAGATGGACAACTTTTAGTAGCCCTTGGGGGATATCTTTTATCATCTTCAGCAGCAGAAGTCCCTGGAGGGCCTAGCATTAGGCAAGGCAAAAGCAGAATGTTCAGCCTAACTATTGGGAACTGTGGAAGAGTAAATGTTACTGTGCTATTACTTTTGTTTCATGTGTTTGCTCAAAATGGTTGGAAAAGCAGGTTGCCACTAAATTTTAGCATCATGACCATATACTTTTTCCAGCAGGCTTTTTCATTTCCCTACAACTCACCCCATCACCAGTTATTTCTCAAGTCTCATCCCTCTTTCCTTTTATTTCTCTCTGACCCTGATAAGAGACTCAGTTGAGGTTCCTCCTACAACATACTTTTTATATTAGATCATTTACGTAGGGTTATATAAATGGAGTCACTTCTTGGGAGAACATCTTAGAGAAATGCTTCCAAAAATGCTCCAAACTTTCAATAGGAAGTCTCTGCCCATTAAGTTATACAAGTTGAGAATTGCTCTCTTTTACAAATCCTACAGATTCCGATGCCTTCCAGATTGGCTAGCTGAAGAGAATGAGATTGGGGAAGTGGTCCCGTGTACCATGTTCCTGCTCTAGGCCAGTATTTCTCAATCTTGGAATTCTGGGAATTGAAGTCCACACCTCTTAAAGTTGCAAAGGTTGAGAAACTGCTTTAGGCAATACTACTGGGAAACAGCCAAACAGTACTTTGTTTTGTCCTTGTCAGGAAGCGGAACAGAACAAAAGTTTTATACCACCCTCCCAGCACACCTTGTTGTTTGTTGCCGTAAAGGAGTTCTACAGGTCTTTCATGCCACATTCAGAAGCCTTGAAGTCCTACCTCACCTATATGGGAGACAGTGTATTCCTGAGTGAGTTTGTATTTTTCCTCTCCCTCAAACTCTTTCTATTATGGCCTTAGTTAAATCCCTCAACAGCAATTATCTCCACTCCCATCCCACCCCAGATTTTGCCAGTTCCCCCTTTTTATTCCCCCTTTGCCAGAACTTCTAGAGTTCTGCTCTTATTAGTCTGGGACTGAACTGCTTTTCTTTGCATACAGGCAACCTTGTCACTTAGGAGGGCACCTAGCCAAAGACTATACACAGTAGCCCTTGTGGCTCTGGGGCATGATAAACGGCTGGAAGGCCAAGTAGCAAAGGATCAAGAACCAAACCACAAATGTAACCTGGACAAGACCCAGATGTTGAGTTAAAGTTGACAACACAAACAATGTGGCCAAGGCTGCGGGAATGATAGGGAGGAGGAAGGCAGACTCTTTTTACCTCCAAGGCAGTCAACAGGGGTGGTTTGAGTTTAGCCAGGAAGAGCAGGCCAAAAACCCAGTGGCCCCCACAGTTTTCCTCTCAAAACACACCTTCATACCCACAAGGCAAAACACTTTTTAGGGAGTGGAAAGTCAACTCCCCCCCCTCCCCCAACAGAACACACCAAGAATACTGTTCCAAAGATTTAATGAGAAGCTTTGTACAGTCACCTTATTTCGCATATTAAAAAAAAATAATAGAGAGGTATGGACATACGGCCAATCTTTCCCCTTTTCATTCAGGCACATAAACTCAACTCAAAATGAACTCTTCAGCCTGGAATGGTGCAGAGGAATGGCCAGTGCATGGCAATACAAATGCAGCTGAAAGAGGCAGACTCTGTTAAGAGTGCATGCTGAAATAGCCAGGTAGCCTCCCCAGCAGAGCACCAAGACATGCTGCTGGTTCAGCCTCAATGGATTCTCCTTTTGCCCTTGCCCCTTCTCTACCCCACCCCACCTCCTGGAAAGTCTCCCAGGGATACAGTGACAGGCATCAGTCGTCTCTTGCCAGCAGGCGCAATAAAGACCACTGTCTGCTCAAAAGCTATAGCAGCATCTGGTGGGGGGGGAGGGAGGATGTTTGGGACAGGGGCAGGAGTGGATAAAACAGAGGGTTCAGTTAGGTCCCACCGCCAGAAAGAGACAAATGTACAAGAAGAAGGAACAGGATGGAGACTAGGCAATCCAATTGAATCACTCATCCTTCTTATCCTTTTGGCCTTCACAACTTGCCTGAAGGGAAAAAAAGAAAGACAAAACATTGATTAGAGCAAGAAAGACCTTCTCCTAGTTTAGTGCAGATGGTCAGCACTCAAGATATCTAAGGCTGAAATTTTGCATGGTTTATTCTGCAGTCTTTCTTAGTAAGGAAGAGGAACCACTGCGGTGCTCCATTCACCACTGCAGAGCGACTCCGAGGTGCTAGTAATCTAGTCAAGCCTCTATTTCATTTTCTGAGACAACCTCAAGCACCGCTCCATGGAGTTCCCAGCACCCAATAAGAGGCATTAAGAATTTCCAACTTAACATCTTCAGAAAGCTGAATTCCGCAGTCACCATCCTGTTTAGCGTTGGTTATACTTTTTCAGACTCAAGACAGGGATGTATACTTGTGGTTAAAATGTTCCCTGAACTCCTCAACCAAGCTAGGTAGCTAGTGGACACTCTGCACCTAGAAACTAAATACAAGCCCAATGTCATCTCAAGCAGACAATAGGCCAGTCATAAGACTCTGCAAGCTGAAATATACACAACAGATTGGCTCCCTGCTGGCCAGTGACGCAAGGTCTTCATTCAAATCATTGTCCTTTGTATGCCGCAAGGTCATGAGTTGTTCATTCTTGGGTACATCATTCCTAGTGTGTCACTCTGGCTTGTCTCCATGACATACGTGCCTGATGCTAGTTACTGCAAACATGACTTACGAAAGTGCTGCTGTTGCAGGATATTCCCATCAGCATTTCCTCAGCAATGCCAGACACGCTGACAAGACTTGCCAGTTCAAAAATGACTCAATACTAAGACCATGGGTGCACAAACACCACATTACTAGGCACAGAGGTTAACTTCTTGATCAAACCAGTTTTTTATCTCATCTTTAAAGAAGTTCCTGTTCTTTAGAGCTTTGAAACTAAAGGTAGTCCTCACTTAATGACTGGTCACTTATCCTCCAGAAGCTACTTAGGACCTGATTCTGGAGTTCCAGTGACCACGATTGATGACCCTTTTTTGCCCATTTCTGGCCTTTTCCGGCAAAAAAAAAAAAATAGAATATGAGGTGGATGATCAGTTTCCGCATCATATATACTTTGTTTCTTATCACCTCCAAAGAAAAACTAGACAGAACTATAAAGTTAGGCAAAACTACTCAGTTTACTACCACTTACATACCTATTACAGAATGTAATTAATTAGCCTACACACAACTCTAACAGGAATGGTGTCACATTCATAGAAACCCGTTGCTACTTTGTATTCCAACGGAGAATGGATTACACTCCAATGGGAAAAATCCAAGGTTTATACTGTTCTCCACTAGATGAAATTGCTATTCATACAGAAGACACGTAGCCATGTTTTATAGTTAAAAACAATTCCTCAAACCTTCACAAATTTTAAGGATTTGATGTATATTTAATCAAAAGAACTAATGTGTAACCAAAATAAACACTAGCCCGATCTTCAAAAACAGCCTGCATTCTCCAAGCACTCACAATAAACCTATAATACAGATCAGTGTTATCCTCAGATGGTAAGTGTGGGACCAAGGCTAAGAGAGAAAGTAGACCAATTGTTGCCAAATTCATGTCACAAATGGGATTTGGTCTAGAAACATCCCAGTCTGCAAAACAGTCCTTTTGATAACGTGCCACAATAGCACACAGTCATTAAATCATATTTGTGAAGCAGACAATTCACCAGCTGTACCTGTACGCACATTCAATCAGATCAAATTATCACGTTAAGAGAGTGTGATTTTAAGATTAGCCCTTTTCGCATGCTACTATATGCATTTTTCTGAACAATGAACAGGCATTTTTAACAATCCCTTTGAAGAGTCTGAGAGGTTACATCAAGAGGAAACACTCGCTGGATGACCAGAAATACTTGAGGCAACCCTATTTTTCTCAAGCTTGGCCATGCAAGAACATGCCCGCCCAGCAATTGCTCAAGAAGGCTAAAGCAGCTGTTCCCGAATTCCGCTTCTCCACTGACAGTCTTGACTACTGTCACCTATGACTGCTGCAAACTTACTCCATAGGGAGAGATTTATTTACATTGCACAAAGGGGCAGGAAGATCCCCCCCCCCCCCGCTCTATCTGGGCGTGTTCCTAGGCAATTTGGGAGACCACAAGAAGGAACAGCCATTTTTTAAGTATATAATTTTATCTTGATTGGGTTTTCCATTTTTATTGTTTCAGACATATTTGTTAGGATTTTAAAGTTTTAATGCTGTAAGCCAGGGGTCCTCAACCTTGGCAATTTTAAGACTTGTGGACTTCAACTCCCAGAATTCCTCAGCCAGCAAAGCTGAAGTCCAAAAGTCTTACAAGTTGCCAACGTTGAGGATCCCTGCCGTAAGCTACCCAGAATCATTTCATTATGAGATGGGTGGCAAATAAATTTAATAAATAAAGTATAAATAAATAAATGAACAAACAAACAGCCACTTGTACAGCTCATGGTATTTCTTCCAAGTTAGTAGTTATGAGAGCAATAGCTGGCTATTGCATTTCAGGCAGTATCTTGAACCATACAGCAACCCAACCAAAATCCAACTCTCTACTCTTCCCCCAACCCCCCAAAGCTCTGAAACACACTGTGGCATAACTGGGACACAATGCCCTGTCTCTAAAGCATAGTCAATTTCAAGCATAAGGGCAATGAAAAAGGGGAATGTGAATAAAAGAGAGTATATAGTTCATAGGACAGTGATGGCGAACCTTTTAGAGACCGAGTGCCCAAACTTCAACCCCAAACCCACTTATGTATTGCCAGGTGCCGGGTGGGCATGGCCCGCTGGGTGGGCGTGGCTAGTGGACATGGCCCGCTGGGTGGGCGTGGCCAGGGTGGGCATGGCCAGCCCGATGTTGCTCGTGGGGAGGGACGCCTGTGGGGGCCCGGCAGGGTTGGGGGAGATCCAGGGGTCTCTGGTGGGTGGCAGTGGGCAGGAGGCTGGTTCTGTGGGGTGAGGCGAGGCAAGGCGAGGCAGGGCAGGGGTGCCATGTCACAGGGCAAGGCGAGGCAGAGGCTGGGGTGGCTGCTGCCTGACACCATGGGCCCCCGCACACAGAGGTCAGTGAGTGCATGGGTACTGGGATGCATCCGGCCATGTGGGACCTCGGCGAGTTAGCAGGCGGCTGGTTGAAGAGGACGGTTGCCATCTCCGGGGCATGGCGCGCGTGCCCACAGAGAGGGCTCCGAGTGCCGCCTCTGGCACACGTGCCATAGGTTTGCCACCACTGTCATAGGATATTCAGCTGTTATAGAAGGAATCCCTGTGAGGCCACATGTAGTTTCCTGCCATTCTTACTTAGCTCACGCCTCCCCAAGTTTCTAACAGAACCCATACATATGAACCAAGGAATTCTGCTGGCCTAAAGCCAACCTTGTGCCTCTAGCCAACACCATGGGTTGGTATTAGAACAAACTGGCCTGCTTCATACTAAGCCATTGTGGCTTATTGGGATGATCCACAAAGGCTTTCTAATTCCATGAAAGAAGTAATCATTACCAACTACAGCAGACATATCAGCATTAAGTGTGAACCAACTATCTAGGAATAACAGTAAATGGAATGTAAGTCGTGGGTACAACCAACAATATCCTAGGTAAGGGAGCCTCCTGGAATCCCTAGAATATTTGCCACTCTAGGTTATTAAAAGCAGAGCAATGTTCTTCAGGGCTGCCAGTCTTCAAAGACATCTGAGTATCTACACACACACACACACACACACTATTTTTAGGCTTCTGGCAAAGCAAAGCAACACTCAGATCTGGAAGCCAAATTAGATGTGCTTTGGGACCACAAGGGAGGGAAGAAAATAATAACAGGTGGCTGTAGCAGATACAGTCAAGACAGCAGCCGAAAAAGATCTGCAAAGAGGATTTATACAGAAAATGCATAAAAGTACTAACTTTGCTCACAACAATCCTGATGATACAGTCTTTGGGATCATGACTTTCTGAAGGACTAAATATTATATGGTTAGAGGAAAAAAACAGCCCTGAAAATGAACTCCTCTTAAGACTAAGAAGTCAACCAAGCAATGATCACCTCTACCTATACAAGTTTGATGACCTCCGTAGTATCTGCAGGACCCCAGGTAACCAAAACCACTATGCCCATACAATAGGAGAGAACCAGAGTGCGGCAGTTCATGAGGTTAGAATGATCGGCTGACAATCAGCAGGCTTGCGTTCAAGACCCGTTGCTGCTGCAGGGTGGGGTAAGCTCCTGTCACACACTCCAGCTCCAGTGGTTCGAAAGTGGGTGACCGCAAGTAGATAAATGGTTACCACTTCGGTGGGCAATATCATGGGGACGTGAAAGGATCCCCCAACTTGGCATCCCCCGGGCAACAGTGATGTCATCAACAAATCCTTTCATCATGGAAGCACTTCAGTGCTTCCAATATGGAAGTATTTGTATTAGCAGAGAATCAAACCAATTAAAACTCCTAAGCCAACTCCTAGACCCACTCAGCACATATCCTCAAACAATTCACACAAACAAGGCCAAGACTCCTCCTACCTGTGTAACTCTGAAAGAAGGTAAAAGAATCAAAAAGGAGAGAGAAACCTTCCAAAAGGATGCTTCCAAGGATGCAAAGTCTTTTGTTCAACAGAGACTATGATCCCAATGAAATGGGTGAAATTGGAGAACCTACACGTTTTTATAGGGAATAAAGCCTATCTCAATGCTTCAAATCAGGAATTGGGGGTGGGGTGGGGAAAGAAAACAGGTATTATCTTATTGGAAGATGTATTCAGTTTTGTCTTAACATTCCTGGAACCCAAACAAAAACAGAGTGAAATCCTTCTATTAGAGTCAGGAAAGTCCTTCTATTTGAGTCAGGAAAGTAGCATGAAGACTACTTTCAAACTAACCATTGTGGTCAACTAGCCAGCCATTTGCTTTCCAATTTAAGTCTAGCCTCAGTACCTTCTACTCCTTCACTTTTTAAAGCCTGAACTCTCACATGCTTTGCTCCCCTCCGGGAACAAAAGAAAACACCTAACATTCCTCCTTAGGCTCCACCTGCCTTATTCTGCTGCTTCCTTATGTGCCCTTATGGTTGCACTTCTCCACCCACTCATCTTTATCAACCACCAGGTGTGGCAGCATCTTGTGACTGCTTACGTGCTGCCAACGTGGATGTTTACTGGGCCAGATTCCCAGGCACTCCCCACCAGGTTCCTCCGCAGTCAAGGCGGTGTTGCATCTGCCTTTTCTTGTAGCCACTGTGTGGGGATGAGGTTACCAAGGCAACAGAAGCCTGGGCTGGTTTCTTTTTCTTTCTTTCTTTTTTTTAAAGCTCTTTACAATGTTGGATCTGCAGTTTAACCTTGGCTAAAATCAACCTCTTCAGAGAGAGAAAGAGGGAGAGGGAGAGAGGAAGAGGGGGAGAGAGAAGGAGGGAGGGATGGAGGGGGAGAGAGAGGGAGGGAGGGAGGGAGGGAGGGAGGAAGGGAGAGAGAGACACACACACACACACAGAGAAGGGATGGAGGGAGGGATGGGAAAGAGGAGCCTAGAACGTTTCACAAGTACAGCAGGATTCACAGGACTCTCCAAACAGGACAGGATTAAAAAAAAGGCTTCTATATTATAAGAACTCCTTTTTGTCTTCTAAAAAAAAAACAGCAATCCTTTTGGTTGCACAGGGACTTGCTTTAGGAAGCAGGGGGGGAAACAGGGCATATGGGAGTATCACTGCATGAGGGTTGTTTCCGGAAAAAAGGGCCTGTTGAAGCTCCCTGTCTGGGACACCCACTCCCAGCATTTGGGCTGTCTTGGGATTGGAGGAGTTGACCTTCTGCATATCTGGAAGGCATGTGCAGAATGACCGTGTCTGAGAAAGTCGCACCTGCTTGGTCCCTGGGTAAAAGGCCACTGCAGAATCCAAGGTTTTTAGGCTAGACCAGCCGTTGAAAAAGAACCCAGGGAAAGACAGTTGTGAGCCTGCTCTGTTCCGTAGGGAAGTGCACAGATTTTAGGACAGGTTCTACTCAGAGGCATTTTACCTTGGAGTAAGTGAAGGCTACTTGAGGAGAAAGGGTGAAAACTCAGAAAGCAGAGCTGGGAAGGGACAAGATTCGTAAAAGGAAAACTGAGGAGAAAGCAGGAATCCAAGACTTTGGGGAGGCTCGGACACAGAGGGCTAAATGATCCACAAGGTTCCTAACTCGGTTCCCTTGAAACCTTGAAATCCAGTCAGCCTGCATTCATTTCTAGACAAAGATGAAGTCACCGAAGGCTCCTGGATGCTCGCCACTAGAGAAGAAGATTCATTTGTGAAACCTTTTCCTACATCAAGAGGCAGGCACAAAGCAGGGAATGTATTGCCATTTGGGATATCTATTACCCCCTCCCCCAATGGGGTTAATAGCTGCCTCAGCGTATTTTACTCGCTGCAATTGATAAGATAGTTATAATCTCTCATATGTCACCTACAGTCACATTACCAACCAACCGTTTATTTATTTAAAAGATAAATTTTAAAACACTTGAATAGGATAGACTTAAAGACTTAGTATATGAGGGCAAATATAACATTATTGCCATTACCGAAACTTAGTGGGATGAAACCCATGACTGGAACATACAGCTAGAAGGATTTGAATTGTTTAAAAGAAACAGACCTAACAAAAGAGGAGGTGGAGTTGCACTTTATATAAGAAATTGCTACGCTTCTATAGAAATGCAAAAAAAAAAAAAAGATGAAAATCTTCTTGAATGCATTTGGTTCAATATAAAAGGAAAAAGAAATGACACTGCCATAGGTGTATACTCTAGGTCAGGGGTAGGCAACTTGGCTCTTTTATGACTTGTGGACTTCAACTCCCAGAATTCCTGAGTCAGCATGGCTGCTTCAGGAATTCTGGATATTGAAGTCCACAAGTCATAAAAGAGCCTATCCCTGCTCTAGGCCAACCAACCAGAGGAAATAGATGAACTTTTTGGTAATCAGTTAGCTAAGATGTGCAGGAAGCACACAATAGTAATGGGGGACTTTAACTATCCTGACATCAACTAGGAGACAAACTCTGCATCTAAAGGGAGATCAAACAGGTTGCTGACAAACCTAGCAGACAACTCTCGTCTCCCAAAAGATAGAGAAGGGAACTAGCGGGTCAGCAATGTTGGACTTAATTCTTACTAACAGAGATAAAATGATACAACAGATTGAAGTTGAGAGAATTTTGGGAGAGAGAGGAACCATGTCATATTGGAATTCAACCCAATCCAGATACAAGCGATAAAACAAAGTCAACTAGTGTCTTAAGACTTTGACAGCTGATTTCAACAAATTTAGAGACATCTTGGGAAGGATTCCATGAATGAAAATGTTAAAAGAGATAACAAGTTTCCCAAAGCTTGGGAAACTCTGAAAAATGAGATTATAAAAGTCTAGAACAATACCACTGAAAAAAAAATATGAGATCCTAGAAGAAACTAGCATTCTTACATAAAGAACTCTCTGATAAACTGAAAGACAAAAAGGACACGTATAAAAAAATGGAAAAAAGGACAAATAACTAAGCCAGAACACCAGCATATAGCCCAAATCTGCAAAGATGAAGTCAGGAAAGCTAAGGTTCCGAATGAACTAAGACTTTCAATAAATGTCAAAAGTAAAAAAGTTCCTTTTAATGTTTAAAAGAAAAAAAAATCAGTCCATTAATGGGAGAAGATGGCAAGGAGGTGACTTGATAGCAGGGCGAACGCAGAACTGCTAAATTCATTCTTTGCAACTATCTTTACACAAAATGAAATACAGTCCAACGTATCAAAAGCAGATTAAGAATGTAAGTCAAAATAGGCAAGAAAATAGTTAAGACAATATCTATCCACTCTAGACTAGTACAAATTAGCAGGACCAGATAGATTACATCCCAGAGTTCTGAAGGAACTGGCAGACGTGATATCAGAATCATTGATCCACATTTTTCAAAGATCCTGGAACACTGGGGAACTACCAAAGGACCAGAAAAGAGTTAATATGGCTCCGATCCTCAAAAAAGGGGAAACAAATTAGATCCAGGAAACTACAGACTAATCAGCCTGACATCAATACCTGGGAAGATCCTGGAAAACATAATCAAGCAATCAGTTTAGAAACAACTAAAACTATTACTAGAAGTAACATGGGTTGTCAAAAACCATGCCAAACAAGCATTCTTTGACAAATTGACTAAATTAGTGGAGCAAATGAATGTTGTAGATCTAGTATACTTGGACTTCAGTAAGCCATTTGACAAATTACACTACAACTAGTTCTTGTTAAGATAGAAAAATGTGGGATAGACAGCATTATCACCAAATGGATTTGCAACTGGCTGACCAACCACAATCAATGTGTAGTCCCTCAATGGAACTACATCTATATGGAGAGAAGCATACAGTGGACTACTTCAAGGTTCTGTTTTCGGCCCAGTACTCTTCAACATCTTCATAAATGATTTAGATGAGGGGATAGAAGGGGAACTCATCAAATTTGCAGGTGACACCAAATTGGGAGGAATGGCCAACAATTTAGAAGATACGCTCAAGATCCAGAAGGATCTTGACAGACTTGAACACTGGGCCCTATCCAACAAAATGCAATTCAGTGGTGGGAAAGTTTTACAAATAGGCAAAATAAACCAAATGCACAAGTATAGAACAGGTAGCATGTGGCTCAACAGCAGTAACTGTGAGAGGGATCATGCTTGTCCTAATGGACAACCACTTAAATATGAGGCAACAGTGTGCTGCAACTGCCAAAAAAGCCAATGCAGCCCTAGGCTGCACGTAAAGTTTAGTATCGTTTTATACTGGTTTGGTAAGACCACACTTGGAATTCTGCATCCAGTTTTGGTCACCATGGTATTAAAAAGATATTAAAACTCTAGAAAAAATACAGAGAAGAGCAACAAAGATAATTAGGGTCTGGAGGATAAAACATGTGATGAATGGTTGCAGGAATTGGGTATGTCTAGTTTAATAACGAGGAGGGGGACCAAATCAGACAATCCAGCATTCTATAGATCCAGCTAGTTCTGCTCTATCTGTGCAAAAAAAAAAAATACAGCATTCTCTATGAGGGAGGACCTCTGCTGCAGCCTACCCAACATGGCCTCTCACTAATGGATTGGATGGCAACCAGCATAGCCACAGGGGACACTATAGGCTGGCGTGGAAGGCTGCTGTAGAGGAAGCTAGGCAAATATATTGATAAGGAATTCCCTATGAATTGGGGGAGGAGGAGAATAAGATTTAAATTTACCCCAAAGAAGGGGCTACAGCTAGCATTTTTGCTAGTGAACCTCGTATCGTTGCTGCCTTCATCTCCCTATTATCCAAGCCCCACAATCTTTGCAACAGTTGAAATCAAACTTAAACACTGACAATATGGGGGTTGTTAAAAATAAACAAGAATGGAGTACAGCTTTGAAAGACCATACAGGTACAGAGTAGTCTCCTGCCAATACCAGCACAGGCCTTCTCAGCTTGCCCCCATCTCCATATTCTTGCCACCCTATTTTCCTCCTTGGGCACCTGAAGTTTGCCATGTTCCTTCAGCAGTCTGTCGTACTCCACTGTCAATCCTTCAGCCTGTTTGCGCATAGCCAATGCCTCGTTGTCTGCCTTATTCAGGGCTGGGTGAAAAAGAGAGAAAAAGGACCATATCAGTACAGTTTCAGCATCCTCACGCATCTAGTTATTACAGCAATCACAAGGCAAGGGTGCCAATGAATCTCACTGAAAATAGGTCATTCCATATCACAGCTTCTCTCCTCCCAAATCAAAAAAACCCAGCAACCTGCCATTTCTCTTATGGGTTTCCAAAAAAAAATACCTCTTTCAATTTTCGCAAAGCTCCTACAAGTAAAAGATTCAGGTGACTAGTTGTGCCCAGCTATATAGGTGACTACTAGTTTGCACCAGCTCATTATTTAATGAAAGTGTCACAGCCAATTAGTTTTTTTATCAAGGGTAGCAGAGCTGAGATGATTACATACGGTTAGTTAATTAGCTAGAATATTTCCTCCCTGGTGATTTTATTCTGAACCAGCAATAGGTTGGGAGTTAACACTTCCATCAAAAATCAAGATGACTTTTGAAAACAGTTAACAGTGAGATAAAAGTTTGTGAACCCCATAATACTCTCCTTAACCCTAGAGTACTGTGATCTATAATGTGGTCAACTTCATCTAAATTCTGTACTAGATACAAAACACATACTAAAAAATGACCTACTGTGCCATGTTTTACTGAACACACTGAGGCAACATTCACTGTTTTTTTTTTAAAAAAAAAGTATGTGAAGCCCTAGGACAGTGAGGTCTCTTAAAGAGGGAAAGTTTTAATCAATGAGATGACAGACAAGCATGATTTGAGGGTCCCTCTACTATAAAAATAACCCCACAGATCATCATTGAAGTTTACTCTTAAATGGAACAAGCTGTGAATCAGAGTTCTGCACATTTTACAAAAGGAACTGAGATGCTTTAAAGGCTGAAAAGGGACTATAAAATCATTGTCAAAGACTTCAGTCTCAATCAACCCATGGCAAAGCACATACTGTAGTAACAAATGGGGAAAATGCAACATTACTGTCACTTTTCCCAGGATTGAGCTTTCAATAAAAATCATGTCAAAGCGAGGCAAACAATATTCCAGGAGGTCAAAAAAAAAACCCTGTAGCCAGTTTTGTATTGTCTGATGTCAATGTCCGTGAGTCTTCCACACGGAAAACATTAAGAGTGATTGGCATGGGAAAACACCGAAAAGAAAGAGTGTCTAAGATTTACCAAAGACTACCTGGATGATCCTGCAGGTTATTAAAACCATGTTCTGTGGAAACATGACATGAAAATGGAACTCGTTAGTGTTAACGAGAAACATTATGTTTGGAAAAACCAAATACTGCACATGTCTGAAACTACTGTGCAAACTGTCTAGATCCTGAGGTTGTGAGTATTTGAGGAAACAATCTACTACTAAAATCCTCATGTCTGTAACCTTTAATTGGGCAAAACGGTGCATGATAGAATAACAATTTTTGGACAAAAGTACCTCAAATGGGCCAACTTACAGAATGTGTCTAAAATTCAGGAACCATGACTCCTATGAGATTGAAATTTGGCAAATTTGTGGTTGCTTCAATGGTGCTGTGCTACTACATAGACGTTCAGTAGATCGGGTCCCACTCTAGCCCTCTGGAAGCTGAGTAGACCAGCCCCTCCTTCAGCCACTGGAGATTGGGTAGATTGCCCATGCTCCTTGTTGTAATTAAGCTGGGTTGGAAGTCACTCCTGACCACTCCAGCTTTTTTGGCTATGGTTATTTTATTTCTGTTTAGGTAAGGAAATATCTCTGAAACAATGGCCTAACAGGTCATAGGTTCTAGTTTCTAAATTGTGCCAGCAATTCTACAGTGAAATATCAGAGCATTCATCCATGAGTTGATGCTTAAACAAATGTAGGTCAATAATTCCAACCAGAACAAATAAATGTAAAAAAAAACCTGGCTGAAACAGAATAATTTTTCTAGTTGGAGATCTTAACGAAGGACAATTCAAAAATAACAGAGTTAAAGCAGTTTGTAAAGAGGAAGACTAAAATATTACCAAATGAATGTGCAGGACTGAGCAACAAGTACAGGAAACATTTAGTTGAACTAATCCTAAAGTTTTTTTTTCATTTTTTCCCTAACACATTGAATGTTAGCCAAGTATATTTAATAAAGAGACATGGCACACTGTTTTGCATATTGCTTGTTAAAAACTTTATAAAATAATTTCTTTAAAAATCAATAGGCTGTAGATGAAGTTCAGATTATACTGTAGGTCACAGAACTGCAGGGTTATGGGTAGTTCTAAATTGTGGAAACCTGAAATAAGAGGCAAAATGTAATTTTCAAAATGAGGCAGGAAAACATTACTATTTTGGTTATTTCAAAATTTTTCTTTGCTTTTTGTTAAATGAGGTGGGAGCAAAATGAGCAGAAGATAATGTAATCCATGGCAATTGCCAATATCAACCAAGGGGTGGCTGTTCTACCAAATAATACTTCTTATAACATACTTGATAAAAGTACAAGACTTAATAATAATAAAGTTGGAAGGGACCTTGGAGATCATCTAGTCCAACCCCCCGCTCAGGCAGGAAACCCTATATCATTTCAGACAAATAGCTGTCCACTCTCTTCTTCAAAACTTCCAGTGTTGGAGCATTCACAGCTTCTGGAGGCAGGTTGTTCCACTGGTTAATTGTTCTAACTGTCAGAAAATTTCTCCTTAGTTCTAGGTTGCTCCTCTCTTTGATTAGTTTCCATCCGTTGCTTCTTGTCCTGCCTTCAGGCGCTTTGGAGAATAGCTTGACTCCCTCTTCTTTGTGGCAGCCCCTGAGATATTGGAACTTACATATCTGTTAACCCAACATGCTTTGGGTTAAGATGAAAGCTATTCCATGTCTCTCTTCTAGGAAGGAGGGTAGAAGTAAAATAAGATTCTGAATCAACACTGTTCAGATTTTTAATTTTACATAGTATGGTAAACAATGGAAGTAGATCTCTCCAGCATCTTCACTTTTTCATTTTTCTGCAATATTCAGACCAAATTTTTGATATTTTTATTGTGATGTGAGTTTTTGTTTTTGCTTGATTGCTAGTATCTGTTTGTTGCTTGTTACCCAGAGTCCCCTACGATGGAGTGGTTTGTAAGAACTGTTAAATAAACATCTAAGTTAAATTTCTATGAGGGAGGTGAAAGATGAAATCCTAGTGAAGCCTTCAGCAATTCAATGCCTTCCAGATAGGTTGGGCTACAAGTTTCAGTGTTCCCAGCAGCAAACCCTGGCTAGAAATTTTGGAAGTTCACCTGCCATTCACTACCAATGATCTGGTCAGGGATGGAAATATTCTAATTTGAACAAGATGTTTGAAACGGAGCTTTTCTAGTTTGGGCCATGATCGGAAACCAGTTCTCCTTAACCCAGTCCTTTCAGCAGTTCCAAGAAGGCTTCACACCTATTTGCATGACTCAGGTGACCCCGAGGACACAGACAAACTTCCAGGTGGCCTCAAAGACTCTCTAAAAGAATGCAATTGACCAGCTGCCTGCAAGGAATATAAATCCTTCCATTCGCCACCATCCAGTCAGAGCTGAAGAAGTTTCTTGGGTGAGAAATCCAGTTGCTTTTGAAAAAGCACCTTTGGGACAACCATGAAGGCTCCATACCTAAAAAGGTGTCATAGTTCTTGCTTTGACAAAAGGACTATGTTGTGCAGCTGTGCTTTCTACAGGATGTTTTCTGTCCTGTGTCCCTTCACTGTTGAACACAGGTGCAGGCTGTTATGGATGAGTCTGGGTTGTCTGCATTTCAAACTGAGCGCCAATGGCTCCTGTAGTCTGCAATGTTTTCTGGAAATCCATTCCTATTCCCGCAACACAGTCCTTTCAGCAGTTCCAAGAAGGCTCCACACCCATTTGTACTTCTCAGGTGCAGGACACAGATAAACCTCCAGGTGGCCTCAATAACACTCTAAAGAATGCAAATGACCAGCTGTCTGCAAGGAATATAAATCCTTCCATTTCCCACCATCCAGTCAGAGCTGAAGAAGCTTCTTGGGTGAGAAGTGAAATATCTTCAAAGAAAAACAAGAAAGTCCAGTTGCCTCTTGAAAAAGCATCTTTGGGATAACCTTAAATTACTACTGTATTATCAAAAAGAACCAAGTAGGTACTAACTGAGTATAATCAATTATACTCAAAGCTTGGCCAGTTTGGCCAGGAAAAAATAACAAAGACCTTTTCAAAAGACTGGAAACATTATATGGACTTTTTGTTGAAAGACGACAGGACTGAACTGATGATTTGGGGATTTAAAAAGGGTTAAAGGGAAGGGGAAGGGAATTATATGATAAAAGGAAGGAGAAAAAGAGGGAGAAGAAAGAGTAAGATGGTAACTACTGGATGGAAAGGAAGGGGCAGAAATAATTTTACATTTTATTTTTCTTATTTTCCTTTACTCATTCTTACTTAACAGTTAAACATTTCTTGCAATTCTCATTGCCATATCTATTTTAAATAGGGCATGGTACTCTTATCCACTATATTGGCTTTTTCTCCTCTTTCTCCTCTTTTTGTGTGTAAATTACTCCTCTACTTGTACCCCACTCCCCATCCCACACTATAAAGCTGTTAAGAATTGTACCTACATCTGGTCATTGAATATAAAAAAATATTTGAATGTATTTATATACTGCCTTTTATAGAGAGCTCAAGGCAGCAGACATCGTACTTCTTCCTATTTTCCCCCCAAACCACCCTATCAGGTAGGTTGGGCTATGAGAAAATGACTGGCCCGAAGTAACCAAGTGAGTTTATGAAGCTGAGAGTAGACAAGCACCTGTATTTCCCTGTTCCTAGAATAACACCTGCACACTAGACCCACACTGCTGCATGGGAGAAATTAGCCCATTATCCACCCTTGGACTGAGAATTGCCTGTGTGCATGGGGCAGTGATGTGCAGGGGGGAAAAAGTCTTTGAAAGGGCCTCTGTCAAAATATGAAGCTTTCCGGCCTCTGAATGACTGAGCCCTAGCTGAGGGATCAGCACCAGGTGGAAGGCAATGCTATCCTCTTTGACAGCTATAAAAGGCGATGCTGGAAAAAGAGACATGCCACTTCACCGGGGCAGGCACAAGCAGCTGTTCCACCTTACTACTAGATCACCCAGCGTCCTAAAAATAATGCAAAAAAGCACGCCCATCTGGAAGACCTCAGGAACGCTGCTTGTGGCTACAACACAGCATAGTGCCCAATCTGGTACCGTCCATCTGTCTGGCCACCATGCCATTTGATCAGCTGGGGCGGGAAGCAGAGGGAAGAATACGCCAAAGGGTTATGCAAACCCTCTCAGGATTGAAAAGGTCAGTTGCCACCCAGAACTTGCTCAGTTCCAGGATTCCTCTAGGGCTGAGGTCAACCCCTTCAATTTGCCAACCCCTGTATATAGGATCCAGGGGAGCTGTTCAGTTGATACTGCAATAGAGAAGAGTAGTCACATGTCAGGGGGGAGGGAATGCATATACTGTAGCCCTGCAAGGTTTGTGGACCACCTGTCTCCAACTTCCCCTGGCTGGAAGAACAGTTATGCATGTATTTTAATTTATATATCAAATTTAGAAACCACCCATCTCACTTGCAGAGCAACTGTGGATAGTGTACAATGATGGTGTATTAATGAGCAGTTGGGGCTGCGAGCTACCCAGATGAACATCGCAATGTATGCTCTATGGTATCACAAACAGGCCCTCTAAAATACTTCTATATGTTTAGTGTTCGAGACGTTACTTGTGGGAAGCAACAACTGAGTTACAAGGCCACCATTGTTGCTCTTTGAAGCAGATGTCCTTGTCAAGGGAACTCTCCTGTTATCTCACCTTCTCTTTCTCACATTCATATTGGTACTGTATTATTTCTGCAAGCATGCCAAGCTCCATGGGTGGGGAATGTCTTTATTAATTATCTGGGTTTTTCTCAGAAGAAGGTAAACTGAAGACTTCACCAAACAGCGTTATTGTCCTTGAACGGGGAGGTATAACTAAATATACACAACCGAACAGCAAGAAGATATGTAGGATCAGAGAGGGAAAAATAGCCTGGTGGTAGGATGAAGCCGGTAACACACACAAGCCCCCCCCCTTTTTTTGTGGCCAAAACACTTTCAAATCATGATTACCAGAAGCGGGTGGCTTATTCTGCCACACAACTATCTTTACCATAAGCTCCATGATAGAATTAGTAACATTTTAATAATTTAAGTAAAGGAGAAACCAGCTCTCTCAAAAAGAAAATGTAGGGGGGGAAATGGAATATCCTGGACATGTGTGATATACCAGAGTCTGCATTATTGCTAAGATTGACATCAGGTTTAGCCCTTGACAATTGAAAAGTTGCCCTTCCTTAGTCTTGCCGAAGAACAGAAACAGAAGCAGCTCTCCCCACGTAGCTGTTGTGTTCTTGCAAATTTTCTTTCTGCAGAAAAGGTTTTGTTCCCAAGTTTTATTCAATTGTGTTCCACAGTTCAGGTTCTTTCAGCCAAAATGTGTGGCTTTGCATGGATCGGTGTGAACAAAGGAAGTTACATCATCTTAAGTCAGAAATCAGCTGGGGAAGAGGAAGAAGGAACTCAACAAACTACTTGCAGAAGAGACTGGCATATTGTTTTAGGCAAATAAACGTGGAAAAAGCCCCAGTTTCGTGCTGGGCATGCACACTGCTGAAAGAAAAATTACCATAAAGAGCTGGAAGGAGGTATCTCATAAAGTGGTCCCTGCTCTTAGGGTCAATTTACTCAAAAAGCAAACAATTTTACAACTGGACAAGAGAAATGCTAACCACACGACTCCAGAGAAAGACAGTGTGTGTACAAACAAATGTTCCGGGACTGGCTCATTGATTCCCAAAGTTTGATGCCAAGTGGATTATTTAAAGCCAACAGGAGGAACAGGTTCAAGACTGTACATGAGGAAGGCACATGGGTATACAGTTGTACAGTTATAAATAGATGCCATGTCACCCCGTAGGTAGCTTCCAATCCTAAGAGCCAACTGTTCAAAATTTGGAGTAGGGTATAAAGAGAAAACAAGAGAGTTGCTCAGGCAGGTTATTCCTTTTTCCTCTAGACTGCTGAAAAATGGCACCTGTCAGGTAAAGTATATAAGCATCACGGTGGTCTACGTGAGCCCTTTAATGTCTCTCACCTTTTTTGGTAGAGGTCAACTCATCCTGTAGTTTCTTGACTTCAGCCTGCAGAGTTCGGTTTTCCTCCTCCGCCCCAATGCTTTTGACGTCCAGGTCAGCCACTTCCACCCCGGCCAGCTTCAATTCCTGCAAGAGAAAGGAGAAGTGATGTTGAATTGGTGGACAGCATGAATTAAGTTGGGAGAAAGGAACTCTGACCATCTGAGATCAGGCTCCCCAAATGAGGAATCTCCTGACCTTTCCTGTAATCATTTGAGTTGTTGCTTGTGCAGGAGAACCTAGAATTCAGAGGAGCCCGGTCTCTCTCAAAATAGCAGAGTCACACCTACCATCTTACCCAACCTTCAGACTCACATGCTGTTCCGTCTTTTTTCTGAGGCTCCCAGAAACTGTACCAATGAAATTCAGCAATATTGACTTGCATTTGGTTTGTCAAATGAAAGTGAATATGCATTACATACTTCCAAACAAGCATGACCCCTAAACAAAATCACACAGAAATTATTACTACCATCAATTACAACTACTGACTGAACACATGGTGCCTCCCCCCTCCTCCCCACCACCGCACCCTCAATCTCTTCCGATCAGCATTCTTGCCAGTCCCTGTTCAGACACAGCAGATGCCCTCAACGGCCACAGGTAGATAAATCATTACAGTAAAGCAGTAATTCTGGAAAGCTATGAATAGATTCCTTTAGAAGTTTTGCAAGACAAGGACAAAGAATATACAGCTAGGTGGTATCGTTTTGTACTCTCGGCCAAGAAAGCTACTGCAGGCAGCACAAAGGGACAGTAATTGAACTTAAGGCAAATTGATCGGGGAAAGAAGCCCTTAAGTGCCTAGCGGCCTGGCCTGTCTCTAAGTGCGACTCTGATAAAGTTCACTTCAGGAGGCACTCAAGTTGTCACAGTACAGGCTGTCCTCGACGTACGATCACCACTGAGTCCAAAATTTCTGTTGGTAAGCGTGACATTTGTTAAGCAAGTTTTGCTCCATTTTACGACCTTTCTTGCCACAGTTGTAAAGTGACTCACTGCAGTTGTTCAATTAGTAACACAGTTGTTAAGTGAATCTGGCTTCCCCCACTGACTTTGCTTATCAGAAGGTCGCAAAAGGTGATTGCGTGATCCCCGGGACACTGCGACCGTCATAAATACGAGTCAGTTGCCAAGTGTCTGAATTATGATCATGTGATCATGACGATGCTGCAATGGTTGTGTGTCATTTTTTTTCAGTGCTCTTGTAACTTTGAATGGTCACTAAATGGGACTGTTGTAAGTCGAGGACTATCTGTACTTCATGTGCACAGTACTACTCAGTCATCCTTAAGCTCCTGTTCAAAGCAGACTTTGCTAACACTTGATGTTGGACTACAACCTTGCTACACACTAGCAGCTGACACAACAGAAATAATGTCTGGAGTTGAAAAGCGAATTAGAGAGAAAGGAACATGATATGTACTATGTAACACTGAATATATACTAGTAAGAAGACTACTGAGCGATTAACTAACATATTATGATAATATAGAAATTAACTCTTATTGTTTTTTAAATACATGAACCCAGACAATATGCTGTTTGCTAAATATTAAGAATGTTATTTTAAAAAAACCCAACCCCAACTCCAACCCCAACCCTATAAAAATTAATTAAATATATACAAAAAGAAAAAAAAGAACTAATGTCTGGAATTCTTGTGGCAACAGAAGACTGTTTAAAAGGTAAAATCAATCAGATTCTCAAGGTACAGCACCAATGTTTGCAATGGCACATACAGAACCCTCTGCCAAGACTCAGCTTTCTTTCCAATTAACCTGTTCCTCCATCTTCCAATAATAAATCTGCCCATCTGCCCCTGGACCTGCTAACCATGGGATTTGTATAAACCTGCTTAGGGAGGGTGAAGATTATAAGGTCAGATGCACACCAAACATCTAAGCAAGACATCTTAGGTGCCTATTTGAGGGTTTATATTCATTTGCATTAATTGATCTCAAAACAGCAGAATATACTGTTAATTTTTTGCAACTGCCTGCAAAAACTGTAAAAAGAGAAAAGGGCGGGGGGGGGGGGCTCTTAAGTTGTCCGCTCTTGTTCTACAGCAGGGTTTCTCAACCTTGGCGACCTTAAGATGTGTGTGGACTTCAACTCCCCAAACGCCCCAGCCAGCATAATTGAAGTGGAAGAGCATTTGGTGCAGAATGAGAAAACTGAATTTTCAAGAAGAATGAATGATAAACGTGGATGATGAATTTAATGGAGCTGGCGGAGCAGGTGAAATTGTCTGCTTTGATTAAAGAAAGCAGTCTTTATCTAGCTCGCTTCTACTGGGAAACTACTCTTGGGGTTTGTTTTTTTGTTTGTTTGAAATTGAAAGAAATGAAATTTTAACCTTGGGTTTTGATGATTAGACTTTTTTATGATGATAGTAGTACTGTTTGTTATGGCTTGTTCCAGTTCAAAGGCTCGTCAATGTTTCGTTGTTTATCTGTACTGAAGAAAGGTAGAAGTTCCTTTTTTCTACAACCTTTCCCCCTTTTTGCCCGCATTCCCCAAGTCTGCTTTTTTCCTGGCTTTCCTGTTTTCTTTTTAATTATCTTTTTCTTTGCTTTTTTGTACATTACACTTTTTTTTTAAACCTAATAAAGTTTTTTTTTGGGGGGGGGGAAGAAGAAAGAATGGCTAATGGAGAAGGTCGGATGACCCTTTTTAAAAAACGCTTCAACTGAGAGAGGGGAGAAAAAGCTTTTAATTCGTGGGTTCAGTTTGTATGAGCAACAGCATATTGATAAAAGCACAGAAGCGAAAGCTGAATTTTTGCAGTGCTATGCGCCGAAAAAAAAGGGTTATATAAAATTCTCACCAGAGTTTCGCATGCCTATGGAATGTCCCGGTTCTGCTTTTATCCTTTGTCCTTTATTTCCAAGAGCCTGGCATTCCCCACCCCCACCCCCCCATTACTAATGTGCAAGTCATGGCCAATAAGTGATGGATTTTAGCCAATTCTTCTACTAGCAATTTCCTCAACATACCTGATGGCTACAGGTGTTCCAACAAATATCTACTGCATTTCATGTGGCAACCTCAAAAAAAAAACAACAACAACTCCTCAGTCTTGTTTCAGTGTCTTATAAGTTACAAAAGGATTTTATTTTGCATAGGATAAAACTGTAAATACAAGAGCCAGTTGGAACAGACTAAATGCCCAAATAAGCCAGCTGTTTTGCACATCATTGGTAGCAGACGTAATTAAATAAATTATAAATTATTTCTAAATAAATAATTCTTTTTCTACCCTGATTAACCAGATGCTATTAGGAAAGCAGGAGAGGAAGGCAATAGACTTCCACTGGAGTTGCCTTGAAAAAAGCATGTAGCTATTATGATTTGTATCTACTGCTAGCATTTTATCCACGCGCTCCAAAGTTTATGCTGTGTATTTTGCATTAGCCTTAGTTCAAGCCAGTCTATACAAATTACTAGTCCTCACAGAACAACCTGCCTATCAACACAGAAACCAAGTAATCTAGAAAAGAAAGGGGAAATATTTTTTAAAATTGCTTGTCCTAAGGCAGGGGTAGGCAACCTTGGCTCTTTTATGACTCGTGGACTTCAACTCCCAGAATTCCTGAGCCAGCCAAGCTGGCTCAGGAATTCTGGGAGTTGAAGTCCACGAGTCATAAAAGAGCCAAGGTTGTCTACCCCTGTCCTAAAGCAAGATTTAATTACCTTATATGCATGATTGTGAGAAAAGTGATGGTAGAGACTCTATCCAGTTCCCAATATTTTTAAGAAATGTAACTCCCATCTATTTCTTAAGCCTTACAAAGCTGGAGGCCTTTCATCTTATCTTACTCCCTCATGTTGGTTGCAACAAAGGCCTGCTTCTAGAGGGAACATCAAAGCAAAACCAACAAAGAGCTGGGAGGGTCTTATTTGCCCACCTTGGCCAATGCATGAAATCATTAAAGAAGCTAGTGCATACATAGCTGAGAAAACCTCAAAACAATTTTCACAAACCAGATGCGCCCCCCCCGCCCCACCAGATATGGCTTCTTGGGAACATGAACGAGTATTTCCTTCATGTGGCATCCAACTTAATTTTTTTTTCATGCAAAAGTGTTTCCTACAATATAGTGGGGGGGGGAGGCGACAAGAAAAAGACAAGGAAATATATGGAGTTGGGCTTTATTTAATCAGAATTTATGAAGGAAGAGCTGGCTGGGTGACCTGGGGCCAGTCATTCTCTCTCAGCCCAACTCAGCTCACAGGGTTGCTGTCGTGGGGAAAACAGAAAAAGGGAGGAACGTTAACATATGTTTACTATAAAAATAGTAAAGGTGGGATATAAAATAAATGTCAACTAAGCAACACTTAACTTGGGCGCGTAGCAAGGTGTGCTGGGAAGATTCTTTCATCCCTTGGCTCCACACCGCCTCCACCACCATCTTCTTCTGCACCCACATATATAATAATAACAGGCAATGCAAGCAAAACACCTTTCCAAGAACAACTCTATCACGGCAGATTCTCCTGCCCCTGGAAAAGACAGCAGGGGTGGGCAATTCATTTTCCAAAGCGGCCATATGAGGAACTGGGACTGTTTGTGGAGGACTGAACCGATAGGGCTGTGAAGGTGTGTAGGTACACATGCATGTACATACGTAAATTTTAAAAACACACACACACACACACACAGCAATCGCCTTCAGAATAAAAGCAATGCAGTTATATTGCACGCATGGATCTCTAATTTCCAACTGACCTCATGTGTGCCAAACAGGAATAGCCAAAGGGATGGATGTGGCCCAGGGCTGGTAAAATGCCTGGGTGCGGTCTAGGGACAGCCCTTTTTTCTTGTGACCGATCTGGTATACAAAAACACAAGACATAGCTCCAAAAGGATACTATGTGACTTCAGCTCCAAATGGGAAGCTTCAATAAGGTAGTCAGAAGAGCATAACCTCTCTGTCCAAGCCAAGAAAAGGCAACAGATGTGAGAAAAGAGCGATTAAACTTCTACCTGATCCCCAAGTGGCTATTTCAAGCTTACAAGACAAAAATCTATCTGAAGGTTTCAGAAAAGACAACATTTACAGGAGGGAAAGGGAACAGAAGAG